CAAGCACATCTGGGTAGAAGACCAAGGACGATGGGCGACGGATCAGGAACTACGAACCACACKAAAAGGATGCCACGCCCTCGCCGATAACTTAACAATGATCATAAATAGCATCCCACCACAGTGGATCCCCCTCCTAAGAGAGGAATTTTCGTGGAAGTCCAGGGATTGGGGTATACCAGTCTCCCAAACCCAGCCTACCAGAGCATACAGATACGTCACTAGAACGAATCCACCCGACTACCTATCTAAGTTCTACTCCTACCCGGTAGTTAATCACAGCACAAACGAATTGGAAATCCAAAATAACGAACCACAGAGCGAGCTGTTGGAGACGTTCCGTCTGAGAAAAGTGAGGGTATCAAAGTCCAAACCTTGGAAAATCTTCTGACCGGACCTCTGCATTTCAGAGCTAGAATTCGACCCGAAAGAATGGATATGGAAACAGGGGAACTCAGGGAAAATGAGAACATTAGCAGAATACGATGTCAAATTCGGCTATGATCTAGGCCTACAGACCTCAGACCCAGACCCCAGACTTAAAAGCAAATGGAGGGAAACACTGAGTCTGGACCCCTCGACCCCCATAACCATTCCGTGGACTAAATTCCTAACCATTAGACCGGTCAGGATTCGAAGCATGCAATGGCTCCTAGCTCACGCCTCCCTGCCAACCAATCAGTGGCTCCACAAGAGAAGAAAACACACAGACCCCTACAGTACTGAAATATGCAGACTGTGCACGGACAACGCTGAGAAGGACACACTTCACTGCCTCTTATACTGCCCAGAGGCAGCATGGTTCTGGAACAAAGTGCGCATCCTATGGACCTTTCTCTTCTCATCACCCCCCCCGGCCACAAMCCCCCTRTACATCCTGAYCCTATCTAACGACACTAACAATCTCAGTGGTGGCAAGGAAGTGTGGTTCCACCTTCTCAGAAAGCTGGCGCTGTGGGTAATCTGGAAGAGGAGATGCTCCAAGACGATCGAAGGAACAGAGGTGCCTAGAGAGGAAATGTGGGTTTTGCTGCTAAGAATGGTGGAAACAGAGATTCGATCCAGATGGCGAGAAATATCCTTGACGAAGAAAGGCAAACCTGAAAGGACAGCCATAAGGAGACGTAAATTCCCAAGAGACTGGCTTCTACAGGGAAAGATCGCTACATTGGTGGACAACAGATTGGTGTGGAAGATGGCATAACACAAGGACAGGGTCCTTTTGATGAATCAACTGAGATTTTAATCTCAACAGCCTAGACATCTCTCCCCTTTTCTTGCTTTATCTGTAGCATCTGGCAGAGTCAGCACAGACTCTGAGAGGAAAAGAGGTAGGGCAAGCTGACAGTCAATCCTCCTGACAAGGAGTAATCAATGCTGGTCAGGGTTCCTTCGGCCATACGGAAGGAAGCGTGCGAGTGTTCACCATGTATTTCATTCTTGACTTGCCGGTGGAAAGGAACCGGACTGACGCTCCCCAGAATGGATATGGAGCCAGGACCATAAGGACCTGTTTAAAAAAAAATAAAAAATAAAAAAAAAATGGCAAGAAAAAGCTACTAAACATCAGAAACATGGGTATCATACTATCAGTATATAATCGATAGATTCTACAAAAACATGTATTGGTGGACCAAATTGGCTAATAACACTAAGCCAATGAACCGCAGCATCAAGCACTATGGGCAAGCAAAATGAAACAGAACAAGAAGAGAATGATGCCCATAGAAACAGAAAGAAACAAAATGACAGTCTCACAGAAGAAAAAAAGAGGAAAGAAACAAATTAAAACAACTTATTGACTTATGGCTGTAATATGGCATACTCAGACTACGTAAGACCTTTTTGACTAATTTCAAGCCATAATTGAGGTCGAATACATCCAGGATTGGGTGCAATTGCGGTCACGTACATTCAAGAAAGTCCTCGCATGAGTGCCCTTAAGAACCAAACATGTTGCAGCCGCCTGGAGTTTCAGTTGAGAGGCTCGGCCTACCTTGCTTCGTCAAATACATCCTACATCCTGAACACGGCCCCAGCGTTGCTGAAAAATGCAACTCGTTGCCTACAAATATTTCGGAGGCTCGGCCTACTGGACCACAACGACTGGCACCGCCAGCCAGCCAGAAAAGCACTGGCGGTTCAGAATAGCTTGGCGCGCAGTAAGGCGCCTCCAGACTGGGAGGCACCTTGCTTGCTCGGGTGTACTGGTGGTTTACGAGGGATTACGGGCAAGCAATGGCTTAACTGACCGCCGATCCTCCTTAAGACCAGCAGTTCATGAGACCCTCTGCAGACCTTTGAAGTTTGAACACATTTTATCATCAACGAATCTAACTGGGGGCAGGCAGGCCTGTACATCCACGAAAGGCCGGCAGCAGGCAGGATTCCAACCTACGTACGATTACGTAGAAATATAACCTTGACCCTGCGCACCTTGCTCCCGGATTGGTCCTTTAGACCTTGTCTGGCTATGGACGTGCCGCATCCTTTGGGGCTCCGCCTACCGGACCAAAATGGCTGGCAGTGGTGGGGGGAAAAAAAAAGGGCTAAAGAAAAATTGCACCTGCGCCGGTCCTGCGGTGCTTAGTTTTTTATTGACATACAGCAGAAATCGACACTGGGAAAAATATTGGTGCACAGCAGAAATCAACATTGGGAAAAAGAGGCTCAAAGGTACTGGTCGCTCAACTAACGTGAGGAGGGATCAATGGTGTCGAGGGCCTCCCTTGGCTTGCTAGGCTTTGTCCTTTTTGCTAGGGTTGGCAACTCAGTGAGGCCCTAAACCACCTGTGCTTCCTCAAAGGGCGACTGTAAACACACACTGGGATGGAGGTACTGGTCCCTCAACTGAGGCGAGGAGTGATCAATGCTGTCAAGGGGTTCCCTTGACTTCCTACCTTCTTCACCCGAATATATAATGTACGGTCATTATAGATGTATTTCGTCCGCCTTTCAGTCTAAATATAGGAATAACGACCATACATCGTATGAGCATGAAGATTAGTACTGGATCCCTGAGGATTTAAACTCATGATCTGATTGTCAACAGCCGTAAGTTCTTTTCACTATGCTCTCTCTCTCTCTCTCTCTCTCTCTCTCTCTCTCTCTCTCGCGCGCGCGCGCGCCCACGCCCACACAAACACACACACACACACAGAGTAGCACTCATCTGACTGCAATTATGGCCATACCTGGATGAATCTGACTGCAATCCAGTCCAGAGCTTCATAGACAAAAGCATTTCTTTTTCCCTTTGTTTTCCCTCTCTATTTTTTTCCAAAGTTCGGGGTCCCCAATACCAGAGAGGATTGCATTTAACGCCTGAATCTGGACTTGTTTACCTAGACCTGCTCAACACTGGGATTGCGCTGCTTTTCTGCATCTCTGTGTAGACCATGTACAGATTCAGACGTTTCATCCGATTCTCTTTGCTACCGTCTTCACCCGAATAGAACGCCCGGTCATTATAGCTGTATATGGGGCAACTTCCAGTCCAGATACAGCGATAATTACCGGGCGTTCTATTCGGACGAAGACGGTAGTGGGACCTCATCCGCGATGTAGCTGGGCTCAGTTGGTACATGTGGGCTGTTGAAATACAGACCTCAGTTCGAATCCCCTAGAGGGCTGTACTTCTTGAGACCTGAGTTCAAATCGTAGAGGAGTGTGATTCTTGAATTACCTGAGGCCGGTCAGTCCCATGATGACATCTCAAGGCCCTTTTGACTACATAAAAAAATGAAAAAAAAGAAGGATTTCAAAAAGGAAAAGCAAAAAAAAGGAAAAAAACTTCAAAAAAGTCTAAAAAGAACAATTGATCAGAGGGTCACAGATCACCCAAAAAAGGGGGGGGGGGGAAAGAACAACAAAACCCCGAACCATGTGGCTGAACGGTCCACCCACAAGCTGTTCATAATTACGTGCGGCCTCCGATAATTACACGAGGCCTCCAATGCCACAGCCTGGCCCACATAGCACCATGCACACGCCGCACATTGCAAGAATAGTATCTACTACCTGAACAATGCATTGTACTGGACGGGTCACACATCTCGCATGATACCAGTTGACCCACTTATGATCACCTTTCCGGCCCACAAAGCAGCACAGTGGGTGCCCACAAAATAACGGCGCACTTATTCCCATCATGTTTGGCAGAGAAAGCGAAGGTTGATTGATAGAGGGTCAAGAGAGAAATGGGAACAGGGGGGGAAGAGTCACTTCACCTTATAATGCTCTTCGGTTGATACGGGCAAAGAGAGAAATTGCCTCGTTTAGAAGAGGGTTTTGCCGTGTTCGCCCCCCTGTCCCGTCTCTTTCCTAAACAGCGGATGAGATGGGCAAGGCATGACCTTCACCCTCTGCTGATCTGGTACACCACAATATTTCAGGCCCAATATACAAGGTCAGAAAGACTCAGAATTGACTCAGCAATTCTGGAAAAGGAACCAAGAAAAAAGAAAAAAAAAGAAATCAGCAATTGGGATACATACACAGGTTCACACATTGGGAAAGCAGTGCCATACAAAAATAGACGGACAAATCAAAATGATAACATTATAAAGGGGACCCCTGAAAGCATAAGTGCCTAGGAGTAGTGGTAGTTAGGTAGTGGAAGGCAAAAAATTTCAGTTGCGGCGCACTGCTGCGCTGTGCGCCTGCCTGCCGTGTGCGATGCGCGCACATCGATGGGCGGTGTGCGATGCGTAATGCGCTGCACAGCTCTGAGATGCACGCTGCGCTGGTGTGCGGGTAGGTGCGTGAAG